TAAACACCTTCAGCAAGGTAGCAAGATACAAAATTAACTCAAAAAATTCAGTAGCCCTACTATATACAGTTGATAAATCCAATGAGAAAGAAATCAGGGAAACATCACCTTTCACAATATCACAAGCAACATAAAATATCTTTGGTATCACTAACCAAAAAAGTGAAAGACCTGTACAAGAAGAACTTTGAGACTTTAAAGAAAGAAATTAAAGAAGATACCAGAAAATGGAAAGATCTCCCATGCTCCCACGTGAAGGGATACAGTCTGGCCCTGGACACATGGGGAAGGGGCCAGGCCCAGCACAGGAAGATTTGGTGGACTTTGCAGAGCCCTACATGTGAAACAAGCTTGTTCCCTAACTTGAATTAATAAAAAAAGAAAAAAGTTTAAAAATATATAATGAAAATATTTATGGGGCTGGTGAGACAGCTCAGCAGTTATGAGTACAGGCTGTCTTTGCAGAGGACCCAGGTTCAGTTCCCAGTGCCCAAACAGAGACTAACAACCTCCACAACTCCAGAATCCAGGTCTCTGTGCTCAAGGACTTGTGATTGTTTCTGAAAACAAATACAGCTTCTGGTGTAAAACAGAAGCAACATCCGTGTTAGTTCTGACCTCCAGGCTGTTTCAGTTCCCACTGACACCTGTTAGTTAAGTCCCACCACAAATGCCGCCCCCCCCAAGGTAATTTGACACCCCACAAGTACTTTCTCCCAAGCACTTGAGCTCCACCCACCTGCCTGTCAATCACATGTAACTGACAGCAAGGGAACCCTAAGGCTTTGTTGACAAGATGCATTGACCAGCACTACACCAAAACCCACAAACCCTTCTAATCTACAGAAGCCATTTCTCTTCCTTTCTGAGGGTCTTATCGCTAACTGGGTAAGGTGCTTATAGCCCAGTGGGTAGGGAGCTTGCAGATTAGTGAGTAGAGTGCTTTGTAGCTCAATTGGTAGGATGCTTACCTACCATCAGGAGGTTAGCAGCTCAGTTGTCTTATCATTGTGGAATGGAGGACTGAACTCAGTCATGATGCAAGAGCTTTTACACGCCGAGCCATCGAACCCTGTTTTTTGTTTGTTTTTGAATATTTTCTGGCAGTCCCCAGGTGGGTGTGCTAGTGCACTTATGGAGATGAGGCAGAAGAATTGCGTTTGACATCAGCCTGAGCGATGTAGCTTGTGTTTTGACTTCTCTCCTGTTGCTGTGACAAACTCCTTGATCAGCAACAAAGAAAGTGACTTTTATTTAAAAACAAAAACCCACTGGAGCTTACTTGCAACTTCATGGCCAAATACAGGAACTGAACAAAGGGCGGAAAGCAGCAGCATTTTCCCGAAAATCGGGGATAGGGAAGAGAAACCAGGGCTACCCATGAGGAGAAAAGGGGCTGCCCATGATGCACTCAGAAGCTGGAAGTAGCTGAAAGGATCCTCCCTGGGGCCTGACAAGGAAGCCAGGACCTGAACCCCACCCACCTCTCATATCTGGAGGCTGCTGCCACATCTTGGAACTAGCCCAACCTGCACTATCTTTGATGTCATCCACCCTGTGCCATCTTGGATCCAGCACTCTATCAAACAAGCTACAAGCACCTACCCACTGAGCTTAGAAGCATTTGTACCTACTGATCCACACCCCCAGCCCCATCTCCAACCCTTGATTGCTCTGTTTTCTTTGATTTCTTTTTCTGTATTTCTACCATATTCCTAGTAGGGACGGATTTGTTGCCACAGTCAGTTCTTTGGAGGTCTGAACGGCACATGCTCCGCATCTGAGGTAGGTTTGCTTCAGTTATCAGTGGCTGGAGTTTGTTTTTTTTCTAAACCTGCTTTGCCTGGCAGAGGTGGAGCTGCCAATGTTCAGGCCAAAGCAGGAGCTGCTTTGAGGTGTATGTGCAAGTGCTCTACGACACCGGGTGACCTCAGCTTCATCGGTGCTGAACCCCTGAGAGAGACCCTGAAGCCACATATTTCCGGTACTTATGATGTCAGCAGAAAAGAGACCCACTGTGTGACGGGGGTGGGGTGGGGGAGGAACGGGACACACATGACTCACAGACACGGTGTCGCAGCCCTGGGTGCTGAGCCTGCAGCCCTCCCTGGATACTAGGCCTCACATCAGGGAGGTGACACCTGTTAGGGCTATGGCAGACACTAGGCTGAGCGGAATGTGCACACACGGGCGCGGCGGGAGGTGGCGGGGGTGGGGGAGAGCAGAGGAGCACACTGGAGCAAGTCTGGCCATCCTCCTGCCTCAGGCACATGTGTATATGATTCACATGGGTGCTGGAAATTCAAACTCAGATCCTAGTTGCTCGAGCAGCCATTCTTACAGAGTATCTGGATGTAATAGATGGTCAATATTTGTTGAGTTGAATAAATGCTTTTGACATCGTGAAACCAACACAATAGCATGCTGGGTGCATTCTTCTCACTAGTGGAGTATCAGGTCCTAGCAGGCACTCAGTGTTTACTGAATGAATAAATGCTCTCAATGTGAAACAATAAAAGAAAATATAAGCCAGGAGACGTCCTTGTTTTCAAGATCAGACGTACCTGCCACCCACGGGCTCCATCAGGACACCAGCTCCTGAATGGATGGTCCCTCCCCTACTCCCTGTCTCGGGCCGCTTAAGGCCTTGTGTCTCTCCGGACCCTGCGCCTCCTAGCTAAGAGCAGGGCTGTGAGGCGCGCATGTCTTAAGCAGCCGGGGAACTGCATTCTTTGCATGCCAGGCTCAGGGAAACACTGCCCACGCCTTGCAGGTGGCGGCTTGGCCTGAAAAGCACCGCGTTCTCAGCACGCCCTGCGAGTCCAAGCGTGTATGATGCCGCATAACAGGTCCCTGGAAACCCTGTGTACCCAGGAGTCCTCGAGCTCAGGACCAGCAGGTGAGCACCGACTTTCGGGGGAGCGGGGCCCGGGGACTGCCGGGCGCTAGTAGCGCTCGCCAGACAGCATTGTAAATCCGACCCCCCGAGCCTCGGTAAAGTCTCCTGGAAGCCGTGCCCCACCCGGACTCCTCCCTCTGGTGCCACCACCTCTCCACCGCTCGGGTTCTGCCAGGGACATCCACGGGTGGCAGCCGGAAGTTCCTGCGCCTCTTCTTTCTTGCTTCCTGCCCAGGGTGGAGAGGCATTAGCTGGGATCCCCGTGTCCCTGGAGCAGCCCCCTCGATCTCTTTTACTTTGGTGCAG